ACTTTCCAAACTTAATGTTGGCAGTACTTGTACTGCTAAGATGCAAGTTTTTTTGTGAAACAGACAATAGGGGATCCAATTTTCAGTGTAATTTTTAATATTAATTTAACCTTTTTTTTTTTTTTTTACTTATTAAACAAAGCATTTACTGCTGACACAGTAAGATCTCCTGTTAAGTTTTTGCACTCCTAAGAAGGAAAGAATGCAATCAAGTACACATTAATTTTTTGGTGCATTCTATGGTCCCAGATTATTGCCTTAGTGGATCATCAGAAGTACTGTTAAGGGTTGTTTTTCTTCAGGTCTGTATCTGAAGATATGTCCTTCTTCTGGAGGAAAATCCCAATGAATACAGTGGTTTTTCTTGAAAAGCTTGGAAACAGAGTGTCCCGTAGTCACTTGTAAACATCGAATTATTAACATGTATGCCACAGAGATTGTGTTTCTCTGCCTGCCCCTTCTTGTTGTTGATTTTGCAGCAGGACCCAGAGGCTCTCAGATAGGACTGGGCTCCCACAGAGTTATGAGCTGTACAAAGACGTAGAGAAGTGTAGTTTGCAAAGTGAATCACAGCACTGTACAGTGATGGGTTTGGAAAGGACCATAAAGCCCATCCCGTTCCAACGCCCCTGCAGGGCAGGACACCTCCCCGCGGGCTGCACAGGGCCCACCCACAGCCTGGTTCACCTGCAGGGACGGGGCACCTCGGCTCGGGGCAGTGCACGGCCTCACCACCCTTTGAACAAGGAATGTCTTCCTAGTATCTAACCTGAATCTACCCTTTATTACTTTAAAGCCATTACCTCTTGTCCTATCAATGCTTAATGAAGAGTCCCTCTGTCTTTCCTTAGGTATTGAAAGGCCGCTGTGAGGTCTCCCTGGAGCCTTTTCTTCTGCAGGCTAAACAACCCCAGCTCCCCCAGCCTGTCCCCACGCAGAGCTGCCCATCCCCTGAGCGTCCCCAGGGCCTCCTCTGGCCCCACTCCAGCAGTCCATGTCCTCGTGCTGGGGGTCCCAGAGACTGCAGGGGACGCACAGAGAGCACGGCCACCTCCCTGAGCTGCTAGCCACACTTCTTTCGGTGCAGTGCAGGATACGGTTGGCTGCTTCAAATACAGATAAAGGTTTGATTGCTACAAGAGGCAGTGCACCAGAGCCTTTTTTGTCGTGAGCTAAGGTAGTCTGGCTCCTTATTTTGCAAACTGTGACAGTGCTAGCAGGAATGTGATTTGAAATCTGGCCTGTGCCTTCTTCCTTGGGTGGTGCTTTCTGAGAAGTTCCCCTTCGCAGGCAGTCTGACCACAGCGTAAGGTGAGACCATGAGACCAGAACTAGCAGAAAGATGCTTCTAATGCTCAAATGTGGTTCAAAAACTGACTCATTTTGACGTTAGACTCAGTTGTTCAATGCCTGGTTTTTGGAATCTCTTACATAATGGAGCATTTTAATTTAGCTTAGTTTAGTTGGGAACATTTTATCCTAAATGGCTTCGGCAGTTCGTTTGGGGCAGACATGACACAGTGCCAACCTACTGAATCACTATTCATAAATATTTTGCAAACAGTCACTTTCTGCTCTTGCCAGTTTTTCCTTTTTTGTTGCAATAGCAAATCACTTTTTAAAGAATGTGACTCTTCTTTTGCCTTAATGAAAGGCATTGATCAGATGAATGTGGGAGTGGGCAGGGATGGCATAACCTAATTTCATGTGCTGCCTCCTGGAAGGAGTAAGTGGGTATTGTGGGGAAGTATGATGCAATGAAACTTTCCTTCCTTCTGTTCATTCTGTTCTGTTATTATCTACTTTCTTGTTTCTGCAGTGCACTCATACACCTGGAGATCCTAACTAGATTAGATGAAAGTGGAAAGCAGATTATACCCACTAAGTAAATGGATGTGTTCAGTAGTGATTTAGGGCAATGTAGACAGCACTGGGGAAAGCAGTAGAGATAAGCACTGTATTTATTATTGATGTGCATCGGTTTGGGCTGGTAAACATTTTTGCATGTTTTGTGTTTGGTCAGATGAGTGAAATCCTGTATTTGATGCTTCGTTACGTTCACTGTATTGTATGTAACCTGCTGAAAATCTAGATCACACCCTGATAGTGATCTCTGCCATGGATCAAAGGGCACTAACAGGAGAGGTATATGCATGCAACTAGGGAGGGACTATGGCTTGCCATGAGACTGGTGTAACATATGCGCTATGAGCACAATTGCTAACCAAAATGAACAAGTAAGAGAGCTTGAGATGTTTTCAGACTAGTTTTGGTATCTTTAGTATCAGTACTGATTTATTGCCATAGGCTTTCCTTTAATCAGCTATCTTGGTGACAGGCTCTCTGTTGGGACACTTCTATCTATCTCAGTACATATTTACAATCAGAAGTTCCCCTGAAGTTTCAGTTAACTGCAGATTTAGTGAGACCTTTTTAATGGGTTCAGCATGCTGACTAATGGCTGAAATAAAACAAATGAAAGAGATCCTGGTAAGTAGGTAATTAATATCTGGAGAAGATCAGTAAGGCATCAGGAGGGTTCTCAGACTTAAAGGAGGCTGAAGCTGCAGCATATCTTGACCCCACTTACGCTGGCATTTATCATTATCCTAAGGAGCTTGAGGCGACTGCGAAGCAGGGATAAGGAAAATGCAAGCTTAAAAAAGCAATTTTTTGATACATATTTTAACTCCGCTGGCTCATTTAAGTTCAGAGTATCTCAAGTAGTGCTGTTATTACAGAAGTTTAAACTTCCTGTCAGTTTCCCAGCAGTTTATTTCAGCTGCAGTCTGCATACACTTCTCACAGATCTCATCCTTCCTTTGTTTTGTTGTTAGATTTGAAAGCTTCGTGAATATGTTCTTGTTTCAGTCTGTTCTGCTGTTTTGAACGTGAAGTGGAAATGGCTGTGTGTTCTTCCACATTCACGTTCTAACACTCCTGCTTAAGCTGCCAGGCTGAAAGGGCTGGGTTTTATGTTTGTTTTTTTTTCTTCTTAGGAGTGAAAGGGTAATTTTACCACTGCCAAAGAAATTGTAGTAAATGGTTTTCATTTATTTGTTTGTTTGTTTTTACTTATATAGCCAAGATATGAGATCCTACTAAGAGAACGTTTTCAAAATTCTGAGGAGAAAGATCACCTGTAAAGAGTAGCATCAGTGCTAAGGAATACAGCAGTGATGTTTTAACATTTTCTTTCCATAGTATACAATTTTGAATTCCAGCTCAAAATCCTTTTTAAGAATAGCCAAAAAAAAAAAAAAAAAAAAAAAAAAAAAAAAAAAGATAGCTGTCTCTGTGCTGACTGCCATTATGTGAGCACACTCTCAAGTCCCCATTGATGTTTGCTGGCACAGCTTGGCCCTCTGTATTTAAAAGTACAAGACTCACTCACCTGCGCTGCAGTTCTTAACTTTGGGAACGGAGCTGAAGCTGGAAAAGGCTGTATGTGCTCTGGGAGAATAACAATGCAATGCAACATCGGCTTGAAGATGCCCTGGGTCTATTGGGATGCTGCAAAGAAGGAAGTAGAAGTGCTATCTCAGCACAGAGGGGCGAACACGGGATCTGTCCTGCAGAGATCTGCTCACTGAGGGACACGGACCACCAGGCTCTGGGTGTCCAAACAGAGGCCTTGCACAGGAATGGGAGAGAATTAATGGTGTGCGGTGCAGCTGGAATGCATTAAAGATGGCAGAATGCAAAGGAAATGTTTTACTATCAGTATACAAGTACCCACAATAGCATGGAAAACCAGATGAGGAATGGCTGTAGGCTCACTCTTTTGAGGAACATGGAGGTCTGTTAACACTTCAGAATTTCATGCCAAAAGAGCTGGCAAGCCAGCAGCTGGGAGGCAGCGTTAATCCCATCGAAAGCCACGCGTAACGGATGAGCTGCTCGTGACAGCGCCGGGGGAAGTCGGGGCTCCTGCTGGGAACAACGCACTGCAGGGCACGGGAAGCAGCCGCTGCCCGGTGACACGGCTCGTTCTGCAGCACACGGCGGCAGCGGTGCCTCGTGGGTGGTTGGCTGTGCAGGATCCATCCCAGCCGGGCAGCCTGCCATGGCATGGCAGGGCCGTCAGCTGGGGCTGGTGAGCAGGCACAGGGCTACTGAGCTTCTGGGGCCACGCTGGGGCACCGCGTCCCACAGCCCTGGGCTGGCACCGTGTGCTGTTCTACCTGCTGGGGGATCTTTGTACCGTGGTTCTTCTCTGGCCCTGAGGCTGCTCTGTAGGCTCGCTCCCCAGTACTCTTCCTGTTTGCACGTCACTTTACACCCACAGTGTTAATGCCTGTGCTGAATCCTCATTTCCACCTCTTCTTCTGATTTGCTGTTTTTGTGATCATTTTCACTTTTCCTTCTTGACTCATGGCCAAGTACTGCAAGGAGCAAGTAGGGCATTCCATGGAGTTGGGGTGGGGATGGTTAATTACAGAGGCTCAGACGATCTTTTGTCATTTCTCAGGCTACAGCAGCTTAATCCCAACCTTGGCCGTGCTTTAGAGAATGGCTGCAATGCAATCAGCTGCGTTTTGCTTCTGAGGAATAACAGCCCTCCGTTCCCACTCCTGAGCGCTGGCAGTGTCTGCCAGCAGCGTTTCCCCACGCCGTCACCAGGCTGCCCTGAGTGCCACAGTGCCCACGCTGTGGATCCCCTTCATCCAGGAAACGATGGGGTCGTTAAGAAACTTAACCGTTATTGAAAATCCAAGTGCTGGAAAGATTTAAGATCCGATGTTACTGAGGTTCCTGTGGCAATTTTACTTAATCTTTTTGTATGTGTTCTCGCTGCATAATACACAAGTCAGTGGTGAATTATTAATCTGCAGAAAGACAGTGCTAACGGAATGATTGCGTATTGCTGACAGATTACAAATTTTAGTTTAAAAATGGATCACACGGGTTTCCTTACCAGTGTCAGTTTAGCAGGGTCACAGCATTGCACAGATTCTCCTGCACAGCTGTTTAAACAGTCTTTTCAACCCTTCTCTCAGGTCCTACAATGGAGAGCACAACAGGAGGAGGCGGCTGAGCTGGAAGCTGCTGTAGCTGCTAGAAGAAAAGAAAAGGAAGACGAGAAAGAAAGGCTACAGAAAGAGCAGGAAATGATTCGCAGAGCTCAGGAGAAAGAAAAAGTATGAGAAACTTCTAAGTATTTCTGCATTCGTTGATTTACAACTGCCGTTAAAAGCTTTAGCTGATCTCGCTGCTCTGTATTCTTGTAACAGATTTAGTGTTAGAACGGAGATTAGCAGCCCGTGGGGTCCCGGTGCCGTCCCTTTTAGCCTTAAACCTGCCTCTACTTTTGCATCTGTGTTATTGGTTCCTAACGAAAGGTACTCACAACGACAGTGTTTGTAACCATCTGGGTGTCACCGAACCTCAGCGCTGAGGCACCAGAGGTTTGGGGCTCTTACAGTTCTGTGCTTCTCAGTAGTGTGGCAAAGACTATGAAAGCTTCCAGTGCTGCAGTTAAGTATGCTGCAATGCAGCAAATGGGCTTTACAGCATGTTGTCTGCAAGACAGCGCTCTGCACTGTGCAGCACAAGGACCTTAAAGTGAGCCTGGAGCACAACGATGCTGTTAACCAGCTCAGGACATCGGAGGGCTGCAGGACGTTATGCTAAGCACTTGTGTGGTACCACTTAAAGCTAAACTTCTACGTAATAGAAATCAGAAATAGGGAATATGGCGTGTTTATAAAATCAAACTGTCACGTATGTGTTTCTGCTGACCTTTCTATTTGAAGGATAGGACACAAATTCAGGAGGTTTTGGTATTAAAATCGTGCCCCTTTTTCTGATTATTTTTGCAATGAAATCTGCCTTGCTTAGAGTCCAATTTACCTGTGGAGTATTTGCTAAGACTGCAAAATTATTTCTCCTATTTCTGGAACGAATAAGTAGGAGAATATTATAGGTTGTTATTGGCTGGTCTTTCAGATGCTGATGAGTAAATGAACTCCTTTAATGTAATGGGACTTCTCATGCCAACATGTTTGTGAGAAGAGGCACTAAGAGCTGCGTTGTTGTAACATGGCAGTTAGAAGAGAGAAGAAAGGGCCGAACTGTTCCAAGCAGAGTTGCTCTCAGGATGTGTGTTGGGGGCTGTAGTGGCATCAGTATATGTCTCACTGCAGAAAGCTTGGGCAAACAGGAAGGAAAATGAAACTTCATGTAAGTTATCGTGTTTTCTCTGCAGACTTTGCCTTCTTGTCTTTATTTACCTGCCTAGTTTCTGTATAGCGTGCCTTAGTAGGAGTGAAAGTTTACTGATGGGACTAAAACATGGGCAATTAGACTCCCTAGAAACTGATGGAAACTCATTTCAGTAGATGTGCCTCTTGCAGTGATAGTCCTTGCAGTAAAAACTGAAGCTATCTATTTTTACAGCAATTTGCTTAAGTTATTACTAAAGCAATTTACTTTACAACACTTAGCAAAAGCAGAAAGGAGATGATAGCAGACCAAAATAAATGACTTGCAGGCTGGTGGAAACAAATGCCTGAGCAGAAAAATGGAAATGAAATCCTTCACCACTTGGATTTTCCCTATCTGCTTTTATAGCACTCAAATATTTTTTCTGGTTTGAAGAGACACGTCTCTATGCCACGACAAGCAGGGCAAAAGCAGCAGCCTGTGCTGAAGGGCTCCTGGAGGGGTTGTGCATGACTGCTGAATTTGGCTGTAGAGACAGTTCTGCAAAGAAGCACCGGAACGAAAGTGGTGCCTGCAGAAAAGAAGCCGAAGCTTTGCTGAAGCCTTGCCTCCGGATGGGCTGTTGTCCACTCGTTAATTCTCATTGTTGTCAGTCCCCAGAGCCAACATTTGAAAAGCTGCCTGATTTCTAATCAGTTTTATTTGATTAGTGAGTTCATGTTCTTGTCATGACTTTGCATTTTGCAAGTATCCAGGTTCTTGTTGAGCTGAAGAAGTTTCTGCTGACATTTGTCACCCGATCTTCTTCCTTTCCAGACATTTATCTCAAAGATTATAAATGCATTCTTGGCAGAGTATGTCCTCCTGCCAAGCTATCCTAAATCATATAATTAGAAAATTGTCCAAAAGTCACTTTAATGGGATGTTTCTCTTTCCTTCATAATACGCAGAATGCTTTCATTTCTCCTAAGGAAAAAAAAAATCAGGTTAGCAGGGACATCAACAGCTCCTTAGTTCTGCTGAAACCAGGGTCTGCTCTGAGGTCTGACCAGGCAACTCATGGCCTTTATGCTTGTTTTAATTTGTTTTTTTTTTATCCTTATCCTATTTATCTTTGATATTTATCATTTCAGATTCAAATGTACAGAAAAGAACGTTTGTGTCTGTGAAAAAACAGGCAGAGAAATCTTTGTCAGAGCAGTCTTGGGTCAGCTTCAGTCAGTCTGGATTTTCTCTTTACTTTTGCTTTGCTTCTTGTAGACACCATAATTGAACTTTAAAAACATAAATTCTACAAACACACCCAGGGGGATTTTTCAAGATTATGTGCACTGTCACAAAACCACATTGTATATAAGATTTTCTTCACACTGACATTTATTTCTGTGTAATTGCTCTTTGCTGATATCTCGTTACCCATTTAGGTTCTGGATTTAAAGTTATGAGGCAAGTGGAAAGCAGAAATGACGAGAACTTGTACGACTGTTATCTGCACTCACTTTCCATGTCAGAGTTTGCAGGGTGAGATGTGGAGGCGTCTTGGCAGGTGTTTGATGGATAAGGTGTAAGTGGGCTCAGCTGCAGCGCGCGATGCTGAGCCTTGGTGGTGCCACTGCCAGCACCGCAGTGAGAGGCACGCAGAAAGGGGAGTCCGGATCTAATGGCAGTTGGCTGCTTTGGCTGCAAGAAACGGCGCTGCTACTTTTCTCTTTGTTAAAGCTTGCTGTGTAGAGCTGCCTTGTCTCACGCAGTGTTTATAGCGGCAGGTGGTGTGGAAGGAGGATGGGGCTCTGTGAGCTGTGCTGACCTGACTGCCAGCGACGGTAATTTCCCGAGTAAATATTTTACTTGTCCATATAGCTGTGTGCTTAGCTGTGTATATTTTCCACCTCTCCCGTGCCTGTGGATAACGTCTGTGTGGAAGCTCTCTGCTACGCGCAGATGGGATAGCAGCTGTGTGAGGTCAGCACTCGTATGTTTCATGTGAGTAAATGACATCTGAGGCTGGAAGGAAGGGCTGCAAACACGGTGTGTGGCTGCTTCTGCGTGCTGGGACAGCAAAGCAGCGCGTGGAATATCTGCGCTCGGTACCCGCGTGGGCAGGCTGCGTCACATGCTTCCAACATAAATCTGAGAAGGGGGCAAATGGCAATAGGTACAAACGCTCTGCTTCTTCCGTTAGACTGCAGATCAGACTTTCTTCCTGTGTATTTAAATACCGACCTTCAGAAATATCCATTGGCCTCTACTCAGAGATTATGAAAATTCCTTCAGACTGTGTGGGGGGCAGAATAATTCCAAAAGAGAGACTTTTATAAGTATTCCAAACGGGATTTGATAACCATTTTTATTAGAATGCTTCTGTACAGGCCTTGTTTTCATGTTCTTTGTGTATAAAGAATGCCCTTAGAAGATAATTGACTTCAAGTTAGCAATGCTGAAATAGAAGCACTGTTTGGAAGACCTGTGTTATTTTGTCCCATCACCTTATGTAGGTTTAACTGCTTTACATTATGACTGTAATCAAAGACTCACAGCACTCACAGTACATTTTTCGGCCGCCAAACTTGGGCTCACACACAGGTTGCTGTCTACAGGTGTCTGAACTCTTCTTGGAAATTAGGCTTATGGACGGTTGTTAGTTTGTTCACTGTTTGTTTGTTCAACTTCTAGGTTAAAAAATACTTGGCTGAGAAACAGCTTAAGTGGCAAGAACAGGAAGAAAAAGAGCTACAGCATTTGGAGGAATTAAGGAAATTAATGGCCAAACAAGCACTTAAAGACAGAGAACGGTAAAATACATTACATGTGAATATACTGTCAGGAGGAGCTTTTCACAGTAGAATTTGTTTTGTTCTCCCTACCTTTCAAATTAAAGCAAAATCAAATAAGTGGGTTTTTTTCTTCCTGTTTGATGGTTTCCCCACTTGATCTGTGAAGGTTGCACATGGAGCATCTGCAGCCTTGAGGACACTTATCGTTCTTTCAGAGAACCTTAAATTGTGCCCCTGGATTCTGAGACAATCAAATAGTTACTCAGTGTTTAGCATTCAGACCTAGTTCTAGTAAAAGCTGTTGCTCTTGTTTTGCATGAAGAGCTCTCAGTTATTGATACAGTAAATGGCACTGCACTGGATCAAGTATTTCCACAGAACTGTTTGCTTTTTTCCTCTCAAGCAAACTGCGTTCAGGATTTTAACCAAGGACAGTGAGCAGATCTTGATGGCGACCTTTGTATGTTAGAACCAGAATGCTTCTAAGGCTGGAAGGAAAATACAAACAGTGTCGTTGCAGTGCATTGCTGGTAGATGCTGTTCACTTGTTTGATGAATGGGCTGAACCTGTCTGTGTTTCAACCCGTGCCAAGTCTTCTCTGCAGAATGGGGTCTCTAATGACCTGCTGAAGGAAGGAGGACCATTAAAAAACCATCGCATGCAGTCTGGTTATAACCGCTCTCAAATCAAAAGTTTGCCTTTTTTACATGAAATGACTCGCCAGGCTGAACAGGCCAGAAGTGGAATTAAAATAGGGATAAAGTTCAATTGACTTTTAAAGACTGACATTTATCATAGTCATTCATTGTGAAACACTGCTTCCACCTGACTTTGTTACGGTGCCTCGCTGACAGCTGAGTTTAGGTAGCCATCCTTATGCTGGGAGTACTCCTACACCTCCAACCTACCTGGCAGGGGTTTCGGCTACGAGCAGAGGAAATACAAGGCTTGAATTACTGAGTTTTCAGCAGAACTGAATAGGAGAAAATGACTTTTCTTTAAACCTGTACACTGCAGCGTGCCAGGCAGTTGGGGAGCGTTCTTTTCTTATGGTAATAAACTCTGCAGGATAAAATATAAGGAAATGGCACAGTTCATTGAGGAATGCAGGAAGGAAACAATCATACCTTCAGGCTATTATGAATCAAACGTCAGCAAGTGCTTAGCGTTATGTTTCCCTGAATTGGCATACTGTACGAAATAAAACAGTTTAAAGAAAAATGCTTGCTCTTCGTGGAGATTAATAATTCTCTGTGCTTTTCATCTCCAAAGCCTTCACAAATATTAATCAAAGAAGGGCAGAGAGGTGTTTCTGTTACTAGGAGCTGTGGTGCTACTGGCACGGCGTCAGGCGCGTGCTGTACTGAGGGCAGGCGTGCTGGTGTAGTGATTTCACACTGAAGAATTGCAGTCCTATAGAACCTAATTGTATCCTCACATGCTTAGCCTGTTCCAGAGCACAACATGTTTTTAAGTCTTTGCAGAGCTGATTGTAAAAGGTGGCTCAGAGCAGCACAGCGATTCTGACCTGAAATGTCCTCAGGCTTTTCTGGGAAAGGAGCAGGGTAGGTGTGAGCTAGCTGACTGTTCCAAGTGGGAGATACAGCCTGGGCAGACACGGAGCGTTTCTGATGGATGCAGTCGGATACCAAAAAACGTTCTGCCCTGATCCTGAATTGTTTCTGTATTTAATTTTAAACTAAGCAATCGGGCTTATAAAATAATGATTGAATATAAGCATGTATCCCAGACTCACAGCTGTGTTCAGGTCTCACCGGGTAAGCATGAGATGCTAGATAACCAGGGCTGTGACCAAATCGAAGGAGTAAAGGCCCTGAAACAAGATGCTGGGAGCACTGCAGTCTGCCTGGGGCCCATTGGAAGCAGAGATTTAACTATGAATGAGGTGCTTATTGAACTGACACAGGGAATAAGGTATGTTCTGATACAGAGCAAAAATGCTACCTGTGTGATAAAGCTTCCCCTCCCAATTCCAACTATGGCTGTCCCAATAAACTGCAGTCCATTTTTACTATTGAACATTTATGAGGATGTGTTAAAGCGAGTTTCAGTGAAATTCTGCTTATCAGAAATTACATAAGTGTGTGCCCACAATACTTCAGGGGTGGTTTTACTGAACCTGAGCAGCTGAGCTTGTTTTTCAGCTGGCCATTTATTAAAATCGGCACTTAGTGGTACTTAGAATCAAAACTGAATATTAAAATATCTTGATTTTTAGCAGAGGGCTGTTAGAGTGAGGGCAGGGTGGTTGGGTTGTGGTTGGACTTGATGATCTTTAAGGTCTTTTCCAGCCTGAGCAATTCTATGATTCCATTCTCTTCCATACAGTGATGTGAAAAGGGTCTCCAGGGCATCCTTGGTTGCTCTGTACTGCTCTCGTAGGACCAACACACTTGTCCCAGTAGTTGTTATTGGGCTGTGGCTGCAGTGCTCTTCTGGAGCCACCAACACAACTGCACTCTCAGTTCCAATATGTGCAGTCCACGTGTGCTCCTTGGAGCTAACAAAACACTGAGGGCGATGACAGCAGTTCTGCTGTAGCTGAAGCAGCCCTTTTTTCTGTGCTTCCCTGAAGGCAAACGGTGGCAACAGCAACTTGTGTGAAAGGGCTGCCAGCAACACCACAGAGCGTCCTGCAGCTTCGTGAGAGACAGGCTTCGGCAGATTTGGGCTGAGAAGTAGAAGGAAGTGTGTGGTGTGGTGGCAGTGGTATCTCAAGGGCCGTAGACACCTATTGCAGAAAGTAGAGGGTAGGCAGGAGGTGAAGCTCCAGGATTATTCGTGCTGAGCTCCGTTTGTTCCTTTGGAGAAAGTCTTTAATCCGTGAGTTTTCTCGCTTCTTGGAAGGGATTTGTTTCTTTAAATGGAAAGGGTTATAGGGAACAGTTGTGCTGCCATACACAGATGTCAGAGAACATTTCTTCTTGGCAAAGAAAACGGAAAAAAGTGAGTAATGGTGCTATAAAGCTTAAAGCTTGCTAGAGAAGAGCCAGGGTTGTAGAAATGAAGTCTGAGAGGTTAACCAACTTATAAAAAATAAATAAAGGGAACGGCTTCTTTGCGCTTGGCAGGAATTCTGACGGTGGGCATAAGAGAGCATCAGGCTAGTTTTCAATTGGAGAGTAACAACTTTAAAGTGAAACTTGAGCAGTTTTCCTGTTTGTATGCATGCTGTTTCACAGGGTGAAGTTTAGACAAGCGCTGCTAGAAAAGCGGATCCTGGAGAAAAAGGAGGAGGCCCTTCGAGAAGCGAGTGCAGCTGAAGAGAAAGAGAAATGCCTGGAAGCACTCCGACAAAAGGTGCTTCTATTTCCTATGCGTGGCATTTTCAGGTGCAGTAAAGACAGAGCACATACTGACCAAATGGAAGTTAAAACAATGCTACGCCATAAGCAAATAAGTGAAGAAGCTAAAATGCACTCCAGGTCTGACGTTGATGTTAATGCTGTCATGCTATAAATCTGATGTGCTTTGTAACCAACAAGGAGAATATTTAGAAGCTAAAGAGCACTGACATGTCCAGAAATATGGACAGGGCTAAACTGAGCCTGCTGGCTGCCTCTGGCTGTGGGTTGTGAGCATCAGATCTTGTGTCGATCTGTGATAGAGCTGCAGATGCTGGCACTGCTGTCGTACCACCCCTGAGGTCTCCTTTGCACCCAGGAGGGGCTGTCCTCTGCTTGCCTGGAGTTCAACACAGGCGTATTTCCCCGCAGCATTCGTGAGGTAACTACATGAGCTCTCTCTTCATAGAAATGCCATTCAGCTTTGAGGTTGATTTCAGTTCGTAAGGACTGGCATTGGCATTCACAGCGTGCAGGTGCTCTGCATGCAGCCTGCCCGTGCAGCAGGCAGTTCTCCAGGCTGTGGCAGCCCTGCACTTACCAGTCATGCACGGTGCTGTATGAAGTCTAGGCAATTAAATTGTTTCCGTCAGGAAGCTGGAAAAAAATCTCCCTGAATTTCACTGCATCAAAGTGCTTTTCATTGTTTGGTCTGAGGCAGTTTTCCTGCATTCACACCTTGCATCTTCCCCTCTGTCCTGTGTTACAGCACTCGGAGGTTGCTGGCAGGGCTGGCTGGGGGCTGTGCTGCTGGGATCATCCAGAGAGCACAGGGCTGTGCTGCCGTGGGACCTGGTCCTGTGCCCCTGGGGGGATGCCCAGGCTCTGGGCTCAACTTTTGGCTTTACAGCACTTACACATGGAGGCAGATTGGTTTAAGGTTCTAAACCGTGTCAGCAATGGCGGTTGTCAGGGGACGTGTGTTACTGATACCTCCATGCCCTACACAGACTGTAACGGTTGTTTTCATACGGTGTGCTTTAGGTTTCCATTGCAGCAAAACCAGACCCAGCGAGAGCGGTGGCTGATACTGCAGCATCCAAAGCTCGGATGGGCATTGGGTCCACAGAAGAGTTTGTTCTTCAGAAGCCACTGTTTCACTTGCAAACATACAATGAAGAGCAGGTAATAGCACGTTTTACTGCACAGTTTATTGTATGCAGCCATACTGTGAGAGCAATAGTTGGTGATGGTTGTGTAGCTGAAATAGTAATGTTAATGGAAGAACATGGAACACGGTGTATGCAAAACACACACACACACACACTGTGCCCCAGGGGCTGTGCTGCTGTCCCTGAGCCACATCTCCAGCAGTGGGGAGGATGCAGGGCCGGGTGCCGGCTGCTTGCTGAGTGCTTTGCTATTGCACCATTTCAAAACTCACCCCATTCATGCTTTTACACGCTCAATTTTAAAAGTGCTTCCTATTCACCTGCTCGTGCAGGTGTTGTGCTAAGTGGCTGAAGTGGAGTGGAAGTCCTCCTTACTGCATGAAGAGCCACAGATAACTTCATGGTGGGGTGTTCTTTTCATTTGGGAATCTTATTACACTTCTCTTCATAAACTGCAGATTAGAATTGTGGCTGCCTGCTCGCTGGTGCTGAACTGAAAATCAGATGGGATGTTGTTTGTGAGAGCTGAAGGAGAAACCAGTCAGGGGGAAGCAGTGAGGTGGCTTTCGGGTTGCTGCTCTGCTGAGGACAGTGCTAGCTCTATTTCAACTGAAGTTAAGCAACACAGGGAGAGACTTTCTCTTTCTTTTACTACTCTCCATCTGTCAGTGTGTGCATTTGGAACTGAGAAGCCCTAAAATGTCTTAAAAAAGGAAGTGCTGGGCAAGCACGGTAATAGACATCATTACATTTCAGCTATTCAATGCTAAAATAAAGCTTTTATGCCATGGAACTACATAATAGCATTCTTCTTTCTGTCAGTATCATTTCCAAATTTCCCAGAATGGGAATGATTTTGAATGCAAGGGTCTTTGTTTGGCTGAGAAAATTTACCCAAATCCAGTGGATGATGTGAGGTTTGGAAAAGTCTGGCTTGAGCGTGCTCTAAAAGGTGCATGTGAGGTTGACATGTGAGTGCTCAGAACGCTCTGCCCTCTTCAGCTGGTCGTGGGCACTGTTCCTGCTCCTGCCAACACCCAGCACCTGGCCAAGGCAGCTGAAAGGGGCTGTGCATTTTGTCAGATAACCTCATGGCAAATTTTAGCATTCATTTTCCTGGGCCTTAGCTGTTGTTACAGACATGGAAGTGGTTCTGCCGTGCAGTCGCTAAGCAATGCAATGAAAGAATCATAAATGCATTTGAAGTGCTCGGATCATTGATGGAGCACATCAGAGAAGTCAGAATCCTTTTCCTGAGCAGGCTGAGTTCAAGTCACTCAGTTTCTCATTGCACTTTGAACTGAGCCACAGTGAGGACTGAAAACCAGAGCTCTTTATTAACACAGATTGTGATCATTAGTATTTAGAAAGGATGATATCACAATATGTGTAGTGAGTAATTCACCAGTGAACTTCTTCGCTTCCAAAGGCTCTGTTTGTAACCAGAACGTTTTTTACCACCTTCTGAACCCTTTTGTTTCAAACATATATAACATATATTGTATGTATCTATATATACATTCACTAACAGACCTTAAGTGTATCTTGCAGTGTAAGTGAGGAAAGTACAGCTTTGTTCCATCATTGCTGTGGTTTATTTTAACAGATCATTTCTGACCCCAGGCTTCGTGTCGAGTTAGCTCTTCGAGAAGCTGGACTTCACAAAACACTTTATGCAAAAGAGATTTTACCAAAAATTCCTCCATTGAAGCTTCCAAGAAGAGATATGGAATCTACAGTGTTTAAAATGTAGAGCGCTTTATGTGGCAAGAGCAGAGAAGCTTCAGGGGTAAAATCTGAGCCATAACAGTAGAACTTTCAATAAATTCCTCATTGGCTGTGTCATGGAGTTGTCACTGTGTGCAATCATTTAAGAAAAGGATGCACCTTCCCATACGGTGTTTGGTACAACATCTGACACCTGCCTGGGTGAAGGCTTTGAGGAGGCTTGGTGGGCTGCTCTAGAACTCCCCATGCTGCAGGATTCCCCATATTTCTTCCCAGCAGAAGATCAGCACTGATGGGAAAGACCTCTGCAAACACTGCTGGTCAGTTTGATGCATAGCATGCTTCGGAATTCTGGTTTTTAATTGGCAACAGGGACCACAAAGGCTTCGCAGTGACTTAGATGATATCGTGGTACACAAACATGTCCCACATAGCTTTCATTCCAGGGTGCCTGAGAATGTGATTCTTTTAATTATAAGATCTTTCTGCTATTCCTTGGTGACGATGAGAAGGAACTTAACCTTTGCCTATATTTAGAAACCAGTTTGCTGCGTCGGATTTACTGGAAATCAGTCATGCAAGCAATCTTGTATTGGCAGCGTTTCAGAATGAATGATACATTATAAACATCATTCCAGATCCAGGATTTTTATTTTGGAGCGGTCGCCACCGTGTTGATCCTCTTCAATTAAAGGCAAATTGATGTCATTTCATTTTGTAACTGATTGCATTTTCAAGCCTCACATAAGATGGCTGTAAAATGTATTCTGTATGTAAACAAGTTACAGCGAGGAGCTTAACCCAGAATTCCTGAGGACAGTAAATGTCAGAAAGATCTGAACGTCCGTATTTGCGTATCTAGTGAACTGCAGGAACTTAATTAGCACAATATTGTGGTGCCTTACAGGTGTTAATAGGACACACATCTTCAAGGCTGTGTGAAGCAGTGATTCCTTGCTGCCCAAAGGAGGAGCTGCAGGTGAGGATGTTGGAGGCCAGGCCGGCAGAGCCCATCTGCAGAGCTGTGCTGGCTGCTGCACTGCTCCTAGCAGACCTTCCTCTCCCGCTGCCTGGCTCAGCAGCTCTGCACCGAGCATCTTGCAGTCTGACAGGTGATGTTACATTTTTCACACCTTACACTGAAGGTAATGCTGACAACATGTAGCAGTGCAACCTGAACTCAGGAGGGGTGTTGGTGCCCAGGGAGGGAGGTTTGCTCTGTCGTGGGTGGGTGAGGCTGTGAAGACAGAAGCAGAGAACTGAGGAAGGGACCACAAAGGCAGGGGAGGGCGGGTGCTGCAGGCTGCAGCAATGGGCAGCTTTAATCGAGGCAAAGTAATCTGAGTATCGAAGCGACGTTATTTCGCTTGGGATAAAAATGCTGCAGAGACTGCTTGCTCAAGAGCAGTGGGAGCTGAATATCCTCTGGGTTTAGGTATTGCATGTTTGTCTCGTTGCAATTCAGTGTATATTTGTGCATTTTACTTTGGTGACTTGTTTGAGGTAACTCAGTATTTTTAACACATGCTTGGCCAGCTTGTTGGCCAGCACTGCTTTGCTTCTCTTCTGGAGACCAGCTTGGCTCCAGGGATAAATCCTCCCAGTGGCTCCCCAAAAACAGAAGGTCTCAAACTTTAGGCAGTGTTGTTTTTTTTTTGCCTTTAAGGGCAGATCCAGAAGACAATCTCAGCGGTGCAAAATCTTGTAAAATTGTAATTATCTTGTCCTCTTTCCAACTAGTAAGATGCTTATGGAGAAACAACGTTTACATGAAGCAGAAAATTGTTTTTGAAAAAAGGGGCTCTGATTTGTAAGCAGTATTGTGGATGTTGTCACATCTGCTGTTTCTGAGAGAATGGGCTCAGGAGTGTCATCTGGAATCTGGGAAGAACTCTGTAATTCCAATGTGGGGTTAGAAAGAGGCATTCCTTCATTGCTCACGATGCGCACCAGGCGAGGCGACAAGCAGTGTGAGCAATTTGGAGTTCTACACTGAAACAGTTAAGACATCCATATGCAGCACATTGGCATACAGATTCATTCTTTGTCAAGGACTCATTAATATATGCCAGCACCTTTGGCCATGCTCAGTGACATCTGGGGTGGCCAAGTGCCCACCTGCTTCTTCCCCATCTTCCACCATCAGCTCCATCACTGAGACCTTTCACTCACTTTCAGCTGCTGGATGTTCTGAAGCCTGAGAACAACTTCTTTATGAAAATGAAGTCACTCCACTTGAAGATGTACCACTCAGCTGTCAATTCTGGTTGTCAGAAGTGGCTCAAATGTTAACTGGTGCCTGAAAGTCAAGTATGCCGCAGCTGCAGGATGAGTCGGTGCGGTACCAACTGCTGCAGAAACACAATGCTTGTGCCAACTTATGTGCACATAAGCTTATGTGTGCTTTTGGGTATGTATTTATAGAAGAGAAATGTGAGCGGCTGCAGCGCCGGCTCTGATCCCTGGGAAGCAGGCGGCTGTGCCGGATGGTTTGCATTCTGAAAGGGGCTCCCACAGACGGAGGTGCTGAGCCCTGTAAGCCATTAACTGACTGATGTGAAACCCTGGGAGGGTGTCAGAATGTGCGACAGAGTAAACATTTCCCAATGTAATCATTAAGTTAAAAGCGGAATAATTGAAGAGCCTTAACTGCACCACATTGTAGAAAATAAAGAAGTGGCTGTGTCCTACAGAGCAAATGATCAGGGTTGTAGCTGTGTCAGCTACAGCATAGCAAACCCCTACCAAATTGGGCAAAATGTTAAAGCATCGTATTGCTTTTCCTGGAGTAGTTTTCATTGAGAGCTCAGGTACCTTATGGTTAGTACATGAGGTTCTTGGAGTGGACATTGGACTTTGCAGAGCTGAGCTTGAATTGCAGGTTAAATTGCACGTCAGTAATGGGTGACTGAAGGACCATAGCTCAAGTCCTGCTCTTCCTCAGACATCAGATCAGCATTTGTGCCTGAAAACTGAACTCCAGGAAGGCAAACTCAGAACCAGGCTCCTCCTCTGAAACAAATGGAGTTTGTGTGCTCCCAGCGCTGACCCGGCGCGATGGCAGTCAGGGTGTGCTGGGAGGCTGGGATGCTGCAGGGAGCTCTGCAGCAGAGGGTGAGGGTGAGTGGTGGGGAGACCAGGGTGAGAGGGGCCCAAGTGGGCCATCAGAGGGAGCCACGCAGTGGGAAGAAATGGGGTAAGAGTTTTAAGCTGAGGGAGGGAAGATTGAGGTTGGATGTCACGGGGAAGTTCTTTGCTGTGAGAGTGGTGAGGTGCTGGAACAGCTGCCCAGAGAGGCTGTGGATGCCCCGTCCATCCCTGGAGGTGTTCAAGGCCAGGTTGGATGGGGCCCTGGGCAGCCTGGTCTAGTATGAAATGGGGAGGTTGGTGGCCCTGCATGTGGCAGGGGGGTTGGAGATTCATGATCCTTGAGGTCCTTTCCAACCCTGGCCATTCTGTGATTCTGGTGCCACTGAACCAGGCTGTGGGGTGAGACCGAGTGCTGCACAAATGGCCCCTTGGAGAATGCTGATAAGTGTCCTTAGACTGAAACATTTTGTGCTTTTAATAATATTAGAGATACTATCTCGAGTTTTTGTGATATGTAATACTTTTATTTATCTGAGCATTGAATCCTGTAAGTCACTGTTCTAAAAACACCAAAATTCATTTGCAAGCATCCTTTTAAGTGAGCCTTCAAAACTGGAAGCGGTGTCAGTGGTGAATTGGCTGTGCTATGCGTGACCCCCGTGCAAGCCCTCCACCCCCACCCACGAGCAGTTTGGCCTTTTTACAGCATGGGGCAGTGCTCACAGACCCTGCCCACATCCTTGTTGGTTGGTGGCAGAGATGCTCCCTGCCCACTGGGTGCCTGGGCTGGGCTCTGGCCCCACAGAGTTCAGCAGGCTGCGCGAGTCCAAGAGCCCTTCTGACCACAGCGAGGAGCAGCAGCACTCACAGAGCAAGATGAGCTGTGTGTGCCATTTGCTCAGCTATCAGCACTGCACCCTGCACACTGCAACGTGTTTCCGTAATGAGGGGCATGGGGCAAAGGCACCCTGCAGGACAGTCCTTCCATGCACACGGCAGGAGCCAGAGGGGCACGCTCTTATTTCCTGAGCAGCACTGATGCAATTCCAGCTGTTTGAGACCCAGCACAACGCCAGCACAGCAGTGTTTGCAGTCACACCTCCCCTGCTTGCAGGCAGCAGTGCCTCTGCAGCTCTGGGGACGCGTGCCCGCCCCAGTCTGTCCTTCCTGCTTTCCAGGTCCACTTGCCCGTGGTGTGGGTTGGTGCCATGGTGGCGTGGGGATGGCAGTGCCCTCAGTCGCTGGAAGGCCGTGTGTTCCCTGCAGCAGCACGCAGCCCCAGGCGTCTCCGGATGAAGGCTGCCACCAGGCGCTGCG